GTGACCCTGCCCAATCAGCATCAGAGTATCCAACTATCTGAGTATGTCCTTTATCTTCATACACTAAACCTTTTCCTGGAGCACATTTGATGTATCTTAGAATCCGGATAACAGCATCCATGTGTTCCTGACAAGGGGAATTTAAGAACTGACTTACCACACTGACTGCAAAAGAAATGTCTGGACGAGTGACTGTGAGATAATTCAACTTTCCAACCAATCTCCTATACCTTCCCGAGTCTGATAGAGGCTTCCCCTGATTGGGTAGTAGTTTGACACTTGGATCCATAGGAGTGTCAACTGGTTTAGCGTTCAACAAACCTGTTTCTTCCAAAATATCCATAGCATATTTCCGCTGAGAAATCACCAAACCATCTTTAGATTGGGCTACCTCAATACCCAAGAAATACCGGAGTTTACCAAGATCCTTTGTTTGAAATTGATTTGAAAGATGTTGTTTCAACTGGAGTATTCTCGACTCATCACTACCAGTTATGACAATATCATCTACATACACAATAAGATAAATACACCCTTGTACTGAGTGACGATAAAAGACAGAATGATCAGCTTCACTACGGACCATACTAAATTGTTGTACTACAGTGCTGAATCTGCCAAACCAAGCTCTCGGAGATTGCTTAAGACCGTAAAGAGACCTGTGTAGCCTACAAACCATATTCGATGACTCCCCCTGAGCAACAAACCCAGGTGGTTGCTCCATATATACTTCCTCTTCAAGATCACCATGTAAAAATGCATTTTTGATGTCAAGTTGATGAAGAGGCCAGTGTCGAATGGCTGCAATGGCTAGAAGAAGTCTAACAGATGCCATCTTGGCTACAGGCGAGAAGGTATCACTATAATCCAACCCAAAAATCTGAGTGTATCCCTTGGCTACCAAGCGAGCTTTAAAACGATCAATCTTACCATCTGGACCAACCTTCACTGTATAAAGCCAACGACAACCTACTAAAGATTTTCCAGTGGGTAGAGGAACCAGTTCCCAGGTACCACTGCTTTGAAGAGCACACATTTCATCAATCATTGCTTGCCTCCACTCAGGGTGAGATAATGCTTCACCTGGAGATTTAGGAATAGAAACAGAAGACAAAGAGGACAAACAAGTATACTGCAAAGGGGAAAGACGATGATAGCATAAATCAATATAATGTGGAGAAGGATTTCGTGTTTGACGTATACCTTTGCGAAGGGCAATCGGAAGATCAGACTCAGGTTGCAGGATCGAATCCGGTGATGGCGATAGCGTCGGAGGAGAGTCTGCAATGACCTCAGGGACATGTACGACCTCAGGGACAGGTATGACAGACGTTGGTTTACGACGCTGATATGTTTGAAGTGGACGAGAAGTGGGGGGGTCAACCGTAGGGGTTTCTCGTGGGACAGGTTCCCTAGAATGATGGGGAATAATGGGAAATGGGACGTCCGGAAGAGGTGTGGGAGTACTTTCCTGAAGGGGTTCCGGAGTGACTTGGGTGGACGCAAAATATGGCACAGACTCGAAGAAGGTAACATCGGCCGATATCAGGTATCGTTGCAGAGTGTGTGAGTAGCAACGATAACCCATTTTGGATCGATGATAACCAAGAAAGACACACTTTAGTGATCGAGCTGATAGTTTATCAAGACCAGGGGAGAGATTATGCACAAAACATGTAGACCCGAAGACTCGAGGAGGAATTGGATGAAGAGGAGAGTTTGGAAACAAGATTGAATGAGGGATTTTATTATTAAGGACAGATGAGGGCATGCGATTTATGAGATAACACGCTGTGAGCACAGCATCCCCCAAAATCTGAGAGGGACATTACCATGGAGAAGTAGAGTCCGAGTGGTTTCTACGAGATGCCGGTTTTTGCGTTCGGCTATCCCGTTTTGTTGAGGTGTATGAGGACAAGATGTTTGGTGTAGAATACCATTGGATGACATAAAAGTTTGAAATTGTTGGGATAAATATTCACGAGCATTGTCACTTCTTAAGGTACGAATGGACAAACCAAATTGGGTTCTTATTTCTCGATAAAATTGTTCAAAAATAGAAAATAATTCAGATCTGTTTTTCATTAAAAATAGCCACGTGCAACGTGAAAAATCATCAATAAATGTTACAAAATACCTAGACTCAAAAGTAGACACAGTACGCGATGGACCCCAAACATCGGAGTGAACTAAAGCAAAAGGAGACGCAGCCCGTTTATTGACTCGATCAGGAAAGTGACTACGAGTATGTTTCCCTAATTGACAAGACTCACACTGTAAAGTGGATAATTTAGATAAATTGGGCACCAACTTTTGTAGTTTGGGAAGACTTGGATGACCTAACTGCGCATGTATAATGAGTGGAGAATTTGTGGTGGAGCATGTGGTAGATGACATAGAGAAGTAGTAAAGGCCTTGAGACTCACATCCGACGCCAATCGTCTGTCCCGAACTTTGATCCTGCAGAATAACATCACTGTTAGTAAAAGTGATAGAACAATTAAGGGAACGAGTTAAACGACTGACTGGCAGTAGATTAAATGGGCAATTGGGTACATATAGGACAGAAGTAACAAAGAGAGATGGTAGAATTTGAACAGTACCGATCCCTTGGGATCGGGTTTGAGAACCATTTGCGGCAGTTATACTCGGTAAGAAACCAGAGGTAGAAAGGGAAGAGAAAAGATTTTTATTACCGGTAACATGATCAGACGCACCAGAGTCGAGGACCCAAGGACCAAGAGGAGATGATTGAGAGACGCAAACAGATGAATTACCAGTGTGTGCAAACGAAGCCGTGGAACCAGAGGTCTGGTTAGTCTGACACCACCTGAGAAAATCCTCGTAGCTTGGCGTAGGGTTCTGAAGAAAAGGTGAAGTCTGCATAGTGTACGACTTTTCGAGAGTACGACTTTCTGTGAGTCGAAAACGAAAGCCTAGGGCGGATCTGGAACCGGAGGAGGAAGGCGATTTTCCGAAGAAAAAAAAATTATTTTTTTTTTTTTGTGAACAGTAGCGGCGGCGGTGAACAGTAGTCCTCCAAAAAAAAAATTTTTTTTTTTTTTCGTGGACTGTGCTTGGCAGAGGTCGCTGGAAAAAAAAGGTGAGGCAAACCAGAATGATGACACGGTTTGCAGAAGAAAATTTCTTACCGGAAGACAGTGGGTCAACCGGGTAAAACACGGCGAAGAATTTCCTCTTAGAAGGCTCTAGATACCATATTGAATTAGGAGAGACTAAGAGACATTTAGGTTAAACCGTGTGTTATGAAAGCACTACGGAGACTTTATTATATATAGAGAGATTACAACTAATTACACTATATAATCGATGTGGGACTATTCTACATACAAATATCAACACCTTACAATGGTTGAATTAGGCTCACCCCGATTTCTAAGATAGTATAAGTCTATCTTAAATCTGTTGGACCACTTGTTATCAAGTTCACTCTACTTGTCTAGTCTTATACATGAGTTGTATGTTAAGAATCTCACTTTAGATGAGATATGACAAAAAAAAATCTTTGTAAGTGGGATGCAGAGCAGGGTTAATGAGGTTGATTTAACTCTATTCTAAGTTTTAGACATGCTTCAGAACAGTTTTGAAAGGAAAAACATGCCCATGGGGAAAAAATTGATTCTCTGTCTACCGCTGCCAAGAAACAAGGATCTATGAAGTACAGACTCTGACACGAACACCGCAACACGACACTGACACGGACACTCAAACATCGATATGTCAAAAACCTACGACACCGACACCGCTATATATAGTATTTGAGTTTCATTTATTCATCTAATAACAAAAAAGTTAAAAATATTCTAATCAAAATTAATGTCTTTAATTCTTGATTGATAACATTGCTTCAATACATGTTTAACCCTTCTAATCATGCGTGATATTTGTCTAGAAAATGTAGTGTGTTGAGGAAAAGAAAAATACGATTTTTTTTAAAGAAAATTTGTCTGAATTATCGGACACATGTTGTATGAGTGTCATATGGATATTGGACACAGATCCAAAATGTGTCGAAGCAAGAAAAAAGACCAATTTTTTAGGGACACTTGTCTGACTTTTCTGACACTTGATTGACTTTTCTGACACGTGTCGTACGAGTGTCATACAAGTGTCTGACACCGACACGTGTGGGACACCGGGACACGGCTGCTTCTAGAGGTGTATGTGCTTCATAGACAAGGATACAGAGGGAAGAACAACAACCACTCCGAGTAATTTTCAAAGCTTTTAGCTCCAATTAAGATACAGATGAAGACCTTAGACCACAAGCTGCAAAAGAGTGGGAAAATAACAGAAATGTTGCGAACATTGTCAAATTCGTAAACTTAACATTTATAGCAATGTGAGGAAAGTCAAACACAGAACATGACAACAGTGTTGTCGATGGCAGATGGCATTCCATGGCGCCGTTAGAGCGGTCATGGTGAGCCCAAAACCACCATGTATATTCGACCATGGCGAGCCCAAAACCACCATGTATATTCAACCATGGCGCCGCTATTTGATAACGCTGCATGTTAAATACATAGCACGGCCAACTTTGCCAGGTGGTCAATTTATAGGATTTAAGTTTAACTATTACAAACGAAACTTAAAGCACGAGAATATGTAAATATAATAATCGCTTTGAGAAAAACAAAAGGAGAAATAGTTTCTTTTGATGAAAAGCCCCCAAGATGTGTCCTCCTTGGTATTTTTATTCTTTTGATGCACTATTTATTTATAGTTAATACAACAAGAACAAACATTTTCTATTATTTTAAAAATTAATGAAATTAAATTCTCAAAATCCTCAAGCAATACAATGCATCATAAGGTCAAAGTTAACAAAAAGTTGGCCAGATTCTTTGTTGTCGTAAAATGTTAGTATTGTAGCACATCAAGGTACAACAAACACTTAGAAATACAACATATTCCAGGGAAAGATAATATTTCACACATGGAAAAAGAACAGAGACAGAGATAGAACAGGTTCTTACTAGCAATTGAGAGTGAACGCGTTCTTGACTTGATTCCTGAAAATTTTGAGGTTAGCAAAAATCAGCCATCAATTGTGTCTTCGAATATAAGCCTATTTTAAAAATAATTGCACCTGTTCCTGCAGTGCTTCTTTTAGCTGGGAAAGCAAAGTAGCCCTAGCAGCCTCCGCATTTTCAAGTTGCACCATATATTGTTTAAGCTCCTTTTCCTGCTGTTGCAAATCAAGAACCAAAGTGGGTCCCAGCTGATTTCCTGAAGTTACATGTAAAATTGATTAATTAGTGAAGCTCTTGCACTAAAAATCAGGCAATAACTAACTACAGCAAGGATTTTAGGTAGTATTACAAGTTTATATGTTACTAATTATTCGGACTGTGCTGAACAACAAAAAATAATCTTGCAAATTACATAAATAATGTTTGCATACAGTATGCACTAAGAGAGACTGACAGCAATCAAGTTAGTGCATCCCATAACAGTACATTCTCTTTTTTTACTTTATCTCCATTGTTTCTCTTTTTAGATTTATTTTCTACAATAAGTGTTTGGATATATGCCGGTCACACTTAATGGGATAAGACTTGATTGTTATTGAGAGTTTGGATGGATATATGGCTTAACTAAGTGTTTAGGTTTGTTTGCAACTGAAGTTGAGATAAATAATTGCATAGAAGATATGGCGGTTATCTGGTACGTTTTATTCCTTTGGCAGGTCAAGGGTTCAATGCTACATGAAACTAGTTACTCAATAAAAGGTCAAGGGTTCAATGCTACGTGAAACTAGTTACTCAATAAAGTGGTAATTCCAACATCTTATGTTTCTAATGTTACATGAAATAAAACTTGTTAAGAAATATGGTTGGGCCTAACTCAACCCTATAAAACCGGCTTGTAGGGTGAGGATTGTCCTTATTTCTAAGGACATGTTCAGGCCAATATATTGTCCGATGTGAGACACTTAACACACCCCTTCATGCCCAGAACTGGACAACTGGAGTATAGAAATAAATGGTAGGTAGTCCGATAGCGGAAACCTGGTAGCAGGTGGCCCACAAGATATTAAACGAAACTTAGATACCATGTTAAGAAATATGGTTGGGCTTAACCCAACCCTACAAAACTGGCTTGCAGGGTGAGGATTGTCTTTATTTATAAAGACATGTTCAGGCCATATATTATTCGATGTGAGACTCTTAACAAAACTAAAACTGATTTCTTTAAGAGATACTCGGTTAAGGCATGACAGTTGGCGCCTGTGACGGATGACATGCTGTCAGTTTCTGTTATAACAGCATGCTGTTAGCTTATGTTGTAACAGTATGCAGTTAGTTTGTGTTGTAACAGTATGCAGTTAGTTTGTGTTGTAACAGCTCCTTGAATTCAGGAACTGTTCCCTTGATTTAAGGGAGTTAGTTTAGCCTAACTACATCTCTATAAATAAAGTTGAATCTCTTATATTCAGTAAAAATTACTCCCTCCGTTCCAAAATAAGTGTCACATTTAGAAGAAAAAAATTGTCCCAAAATACTTTTCATTTTAGATTATCAATGCAATTTTATATTTAATCTTCCAATTATACCCCTAATAAATACTTTTAATTTTTTGTTTTCTCACTTAACATTAATGCTAATTTGAATCCACCAATATTTAATCAGGATAATTTGGTAAAATCATTATTTTCTCTCTTTCATTTATTACTGTTTCTTAATATGTGGTGAGGATTGTCCAAGATTTTAATAAACACTACTTAGGTCATATCACTAGTCGATGTAACACTCTCGACCAGTGTTTTAAAAACCGGACCGAACCGGTCAAACCAGAAACCAGGGGGTCATCGGTTTACTTTAGCCTAACTACAACTCTATAAATAAAGTTGAATCTCCTATATTCAGTAAAAATTAAATCATAATAATACATACATTATGACATTTCAATAGTTTCTAAGGTGAGGATTGTCCAAGATTTTAATAAACACTACTTAGGTCATACCTCTAGTCGACGTAACACTCTCAACCAGTGTTTTAAAAACCAGACCAAACCGGTCAAACCGGAAACCAGGGGGTCACCGGTTTACTTTAGCCTAACTACAACTCTATAAATAAAGTTGAATCTCCCATATTTAGTAAAAATTAAATCATAATAATACATACATTATGACATTTCAATAGTTTCTAAGGTGAGGATTGTCCAAGATTTTAATAAACACTACTTAGGTCATACCTCTAATCGATGTAACACTCTCAACCAGTGTTTTAAAAACCGGACCAAATTGGTTCAAACCGGGAACCACTGTTTTAAATTTATTAGACAAGTTATTTTATTCAGTTTATGTTGTAATTAGACTTTGTTCAAAATTTATTTAGATTTATATTTTGTAGTATTTTGTTGTGTGTGATGACTATTTTTAAAACTTGAATTTCGAGAATGAACTTGTGAAATTATGATATTTTGAAATTTTATAGGTGTCGTGATATTTTTAGAGACCGAGTCATCCGGTTCGACCGGTTTAACATCTAATTTTTGTTATAGAGACCGGTTCATTCAACCGAGTTATCTGATTTAATCCGGTTTAGTCATGCGGTTTGACCAGTGACCTAATATCCTCACCGGTTTGATGACCGGTCTGGTTTTTAAAACATTACTCTCAACAAACCATGCCTTGCTCAGATCTAGAAATGTGAAGTGTGAACTAATGCGGGTGGAATTATAGTGATCTCAACATTGCAATTAAACATTTATATTTCAAACAATATTTCAGTTATGATAACCATGTATTTATCAGAATGTCCATACAAAAATGGCTCAAAGGGAGAAGACTTGAGAAAAAAATCCGTCTTGAGATAATTAATGTCAAAGCAAGAAACTTAAGTTCGATTAACTCCTCTTACCTTGAGACAGTGTATTTTCAACATCTTCTACAAGCTTACCCACTTGACATACAGCACCATTACACTTGTTCAGGGCAGCTTCTTCGTTAGGATGATCGTCATTTACAGAATGCAGTGCTGTTATTATTTTTTCTGGCAAAGATCCGATAGCTAGTTTCTGCAATGAAGATGATCAAGATTTACCTCGAGGTCAAATATATCAAGACAAAATATAATAATATGTGAATAAATCATATATCAGACAGAGCTGCAGCAACTTGCTTACTAATCTCAATGATTGGGCGTCCCTCTTGGCTATCTTGATAGGATTTGAATTTGAATTTGAATTCTTTCCATTGCTTACAGATGATGGAAGGGAACTCTTGCTCATTATCTCACCCTTGAGACCCTGAGACAGTGAACCAAAAACCTTTCTCTCCTCCCAAATGTCAATCTAAACATAAGAGAGAAAATGAAACGGTAAGATGTTAAATCAAATTGCACTTATTCAAAGTAAGAGTTCATGCGCCTAATAAAATATAATGCCATGGTAGATGCTGGTAAGGAACATGCCCTTAAAAGAAATAATATAGATTTACCACCGGTATCATCCATTACAATTAAGATATTAAAAAGCATGAAAGAACCTTGCAATGAAGTTTTCCCTACAGCAGTGGAGATTTCTAGGATATTTGTTACACTTTTATGGGCTCCTATCAATGGATCAGTTTGTTAGAATCTGTTATGATAAAATCATTTGAATCTCTTGATTTATTTAATTATACATGATAGAGAGTATTTATAGCGAGCTTCTCAACTCTCACTCTTAGACTGAGTGAAAGTTGTTACAACAGCTTGTAACTAACTCTAGTTGCTAAAATGAATATTGTCCGGAAGATATCTTTAGCAGCTAATTACAATTGGATTTTACATCAATTTGATGTGAAAATGTCTTCCTTCGTGGAGAACTTAGAGAAGAGATCTACGTGGATTGCCCCATGGATACCGTGAACTTACTACCCCCAACAATGTGTGCAAATTAAAAAAGGCTTTATATGGGCTAAAGCAATCATCAAAAGCATGGTTTGGGAGATTCACCAAAGTTATGATAGGTTTGAGCTTCAAACAAAGTCAAGGAGATCATACTCTATTTACCAAACATTCTGAGACAGGGAGAGTAATAGTGTTATTGGTGTATGTGGATAACATTATAGTAACAGGTGATGATGAGAACAAGCAACAACTGTTAGACTAGTACTTAGCCAAAGAGTTTGAGATTAAGACCTTGGGAAAACTGAAGTACTTTCTAGAAATTGGAGTTGCTCTCTCTAAGAAAATAATCTGCATATCGCAACAGAAATACATTATTGATCTACTAAAATAGACGGGTAAGACAGCATGCAAGCTTGCAAGTACACCAATTGATCCAAGTGTAAAGTTGGGGAACGCAGAAGAAAATATTCTCGTTGGTAAGGAAATGTTTCCAATATTAGTCAACAGAAACTTATATACCTATCACATACTATACTAGACCTGATGTTGCTTTTGTTATAAGTTTAGTCACTCAATTCATGCACCAAATGAAGGAGATTCATTTACAAGATGTGCTCCAAATTGTGCAATATCTAAAAGGAACTCCAGGTAGAAAAAAAATTTTGAACAAAATGGAACTGTGGGTCTTGAAGCATATATTGATGCTGACTATGCAGGGCCAATTGTGGATAGAAGATCAGTTACAAGATATTGTCCTTTTCTGCGTGGGAATCTTGTGACTTGGAAGAGTAAAAAACAAAGTGTTGTATCCATATCGAATGTTGAAGCAAAGTTCAGAGCAATGGCACAAGCAATGTAGTCAATCACTAGATCTTAAGTAGGATTGGTCGGCAAATGAAAGATCGTAAAACTAGGAACTTAGCACGGCACGTAAGATCCTTCCGAATGGAAAAATTATAATAAATAGATAAAACAACCTATATATTACAACATTCAACCAATTTAATTAATAATTCATAATCATCATTATTAAGTTCAGAAGACATCGTCTTAAGTATTCAAAAGACAACCAACATTTTCAAAAGACTAAACTAACAAAAGAGGCAGCTTTTGTGTTTGAGAAAATTGTGGTTTAAGGTTATAGGAAGCACCGGTTTTCCACTTAAAGTAAACTGGAGTTTTTAATAAAAACCCAACCTAGTTAGATAAGTCCACCAAAAAAAATTTAGCACGATTTCTTTTATACGATTTTGCTTCAAAGATCTCAATCTTGATCACGCCGATGATGAAAACGATTTTGTTGTAATCGTAGCGCGCTTTGGCAGTCATGGCATGTAAGATCTTACGATCCAGCACTCGATCTTGACCACATTGGGCCCAAGGGATATGCAAACTACTATAGCTGAAAATGATCTTAGAGACTATAATGCTTGTCAGTGCTTTGGCCTGCCTCAGTGGCATGCCTCGGCCTCCTACATTTTCTATGCCTGCCTATCCTAGTTTTCCTCAATTCCCTGTGATGCCATTTACACAAGGTGCGTCTCAACCTGTTTACTCCCAGCTTAGACCATAGGCAAGGTGGTTAACTGTGATTCTGCAAGTTCAGTGAATTGGTACCCTGATTCATGTGCAGCTCACCATGTAACCTCAAATGCACGAGACATTCAGCAGTTGTCACCATCTGAAGGACCGGTCAGATCATTATTGGCAATGGCCAAGGTATGTCTATCCTTTCAACTAGCTCTACAAAGCACGTGGAACTTGACCTATTTTTTTGTGGGAGAAAAGGTACTTGGCAAGAATCTCAGAGCCACTCGTGTACTTAAGCACTCCCAATATGCTGGTATCCTAACCAAGGTGCTAATTCTCTAAGCTAAAGACCTACAGTCAAGCTCACTGTGTGTAACTCTACTCAACTCAAACTCAGTGCAGCTTGAGGAGGACTATCAAATAATCAGTTTATAGTAAGTAAGCTTGTGACTCATGAGAGCTTATTGTAGGTGCATTGTATAATATCCTAGCCCCGTAACTAACAAAAACTAACTGTTTCACACAAAAGCAGCTGTAACAGCCAGAACAAACTGTAACAAACTGACTAATACGTGTCAGTCAGTCCTAGGCATTACCTGCTATAGCAGGTAATCAAAAAGATCTGTAAATAGATCTAATTCAGTGTAATCAAGTCAATTCAATAAAATACAAATTTACTCTCAGAGATTTCAAGAGAATCGTGGGTAATATTAAACATTCTAACAGCTCTGACCAAATGTAACTGAACAACAATGACAGTAGCATTGTCAAAATCTTAAAAAGACCCAGACCTGACTAACAAGACAATTCATTACATGGTGATTGTTTTACAAGACAAATGAAAGTTCAATTTTATTTTAGTTTTGGTTTTAAACTGTGTAGCGGAGAAAACCACGCATGCTGAGTGTGAAGAAGAGGGTTATTGTGGGTTCGAACCCACCCCAAGACATCAAATGTCCCCAAAACCTTTACCATCTCAGTTGTACTTTTGGGGCAAAAGATGACAGTTGTATTTTTAAATGAGATGAACTACTACACTTATTACAGGCCGAATATGAACAGAAGAACATAGCCTAAGGATCCCAAAGGTTACTAAGCAAAGTTGTTTTACGAGTTACTAAATGAAATAAAACATTACTTCACTCTTTTCAAATCTGCATGTGTAATTGTACCTTCTTATCAACTTTTTTGCTTACATGAAACCGATGTGAAAATTGTATTTATAATATGATTTTTCTACTGTTTATGTTTTTCTTACTTCTATATATACATCCTTCTATACCTATTACCCATACATTCGTTCTAGAAAATCCATACACGTAAACATACAAATACTTTTACCAATACCAGTACTCAACCATAGCCATGCTGCAAAAATGAGTATATTTAGAACAGTGTAAATGTATTAAAGAAAAAGGGAAAGATTTACACCTCTAGAAGAACATAAAGAGTTCTGTTTTTCTTAATATATGCTGCAGCAGTAATGTACGTCGTTCAGCAATGAGCATATATTAAGAAGTAGGTTCTCAATCTGTTAGTCCGTCATTCTTTCAATCATAGCAGTTTAGTTCAATGTTCATTCTAATAAAACCCGAAAAAACAAACAATAAAAAATATCCAAGCCCAACCCACAAATCTAGAGTTATTACAAAATTTAGCGAAAAATGAACACATTTACTATACTGAGCATTTTAATACAATTGATTAATAAGACTTTATGGCAAGTGAGAATGGAACTTACAAGCCTGATAACTGAATTCTTTCCTGACTCATCACTTGCATATACACGCTTGAGAGCTGATGGCAGAACTTTCCAGAATTCATTGACGAACTCATTGCCTTTGCGCTTACTAGTTTGCAAGATGTCATTAGCCAAATTCAGAAAAGGGACACGCTGATCTTTCTGGGAAGAACTGAACAATTTATTCCATGTTTCAACTATATCTTTTGCTCTCTCCCGGTGAGAAACACACAATCGGGATACCGCTATTGGATGTTCAAGAAATACATTTTGCCAATACATTAATCAAATGCAAAGTAAAATGGAAGGACAAAATCATGCGAAAAATATATATGATCTAAACTGAATCGCATATCAAAATCAAAACTAATATTACTGTCAGAAAGTTATTTAATTAATAGGGAAAATTAGACAATATCTCATACCATTTACCAAACTACAGCATGCAGCCAGCATACTGATAAATTTGGTACAAAAGAGAAATTTTTGAGGTTACAAGGTATAAAGGAGGAAAAAGACCTGAAAAGATAAAATGTGGGCCAAACTGCATTTTAGATAAAAAGTCAAGACCAAATTGCAAAATAGACAAAAATTGGGGCCCAACTGCTTTTCAAAGAGCTTTTTAGAGAGGTAGCAGAAGCAGCAGACAAAAGATAATGCTGACAGGCCAAGAAACTATATATGATAAATGGGATGAGGATAGCGGATAGCGTGTGTGCCTTTGCGAAGAGTATAAACAGGTCAACAGGCAATTCAGATGGATCTGGAGTAGGTTAAGGAAAAAGACAACAATTTGCTCTCTGGTGGCAACTTCCTTCATTGGTGTATAATAAGAAGACGCCGAGTCGCTGACACATAATAATAGGACGTAGAGTGGAAGGAATAAATAGGAGGCTTTGACAAATCACTCTGACCAAAGGAACTGAATAAGGAACTAGTAATTCCTAGGAAACAATCTCTTATGTCACCAAAAAAAATACAAAAAGAAGTATCCTCGAAACATGTGATATCAGTGTATATATAGAAGCAATGAAATTGAAGGGGAATAACATGTATCCTATCTACACTCTCGAGAATAGTTACAAAAAATGCACTTGATAGCACAAGCCAGAAACTTTTCAAGACTTGGTATAAGATTGTGTACAAAACAAGTAGAACCGATGACACTTGAGCCTTGGAGGAATGATGAAAAGTTGATCCTCGGGAAACAAGATGAAATGAGGTACTTTATTGTTCAAAGAAGAAGTTGGCATTCCATTTATCAAAAACAACAGTAAGCACAGAGTCATCACAAAAAAATTAACTTGTGCATTGTCTATTAAAAGGGCATATGCAGTTTCAATCAAATGATGGTATTTGCGTTCTGCAATAACATTTTAGTGAAGAATATGTGGGCAAGTGAATTGACAGTAAAAAAAATTATTTGCGCTATTATAGTGAAAATTCCAATAGATAGGATGCCCAAAATAAGTTCAAAATTCATTAGAAAAACTTTGAAAGATATTAAGGAACTCTAAACATTCTTTCATTAGAAAAATCAAGGTACACCTTGGAGAGTTATTAAAGAAATTAATAAAGTACCTAAATCCTAAAATAGAACTAACATAACTTGAATCCCACATATAAGACATAGTCAATAGCTCCATGGAAGGTTTCATTGCCATGAGATATGTACCGGAGCTTGATAAAGCAGAGATAACAAAATAAATATCATCATTAAAACAACCCATACAAAATAAGAGGAGACAGTGTTGGATACATTCAATGCTTTGTTGCGAATTGTTGAGTTTCCGCAACTTCTCTGTCAATATTTTCCTATCAAACGCGTTGTTTCCCATACTGCTTTATGACAAGTTTTACACATCCAAGATTCTCCTATAATTCACAGGAAATGAATATCAACTGAATGGGTATGCATAGAACTAAATAAAAAGGCATAATCAATATCATAGAAATATATTGTTAGGAAAAAGAAATCAGCTTCTACTATCTATTATCCAGTTAATGATGAGTTTGTGAGATGTGATGTATAAAAAAGGATTAAAAAAATGCTTTATGGAAGATGATATATCTCCCAGACAGAAACAGCAAAATACACCAAACCATTATGCATATATGAAATGAAAACTCACTTGAGACAGGCATTAGATATTAAATACAAAAGACAATCTTATCTTGCAAGTTGAAGGGCAAAGCAACAACCTTAAAGATGTGGGCATTCCACAACTCAAACCAAATACAAACAAAGAATGCATAAACTGCAATTACTAAACCAATTTTAGAAAACAAGAAATCACTAACAAATAATTAAACTGTTCCTTAATTAGAAGACATGGAAAAAAACTAATTATGCAACTCTGAGGATACTAGTTAAGGTCACCATGAGCTGCTTCTAGTGTATAATGCATAGTATCATGCATTTATTCAATGAAAACAATAGGAAATCAAAGAGTGTCCAGGATAACATCTAACAACAACTGATATCAATTGAGAGCGGACAAATTTAGTGTCACACCATCAACGTCATCTCATTCTTCTTATGAAATGAAAGATGCAATTAGAATTAAGAAACTGCCATAGCACCGAGCACTCTATCTCTCTCTTTTCACGGGTTATGTTGTGACTTGTGAATGTTTCATAGATTACATTTTAGTATTCGCCTACAAAAGAATAAAAATCAAAAGGGGCGCAAACCACAAAATAAGTGTTCATTTTAAACCCAATCATATGTGTATGTAATCATCTTAAAATAGGAGTTGCTATGGTAGCTTTATAAATACTGTATCAAAAAAGAGTCGTCAAAAATTTAGTAATCATAGCTTTTAAAATAATACTATAAAATATATAATAAATGAGTAGAGTAAATAACATAATAATCTTGATTATTAATGTGAAGGTAGTCAAAATCGAGATTTTATGCAAAATCAGGAAGGCAAAGTAAAATCGTAAATCGTGGAATCGTAACGCTTATTAACATTAAACAAAAATCTAAAACTCATATATATGGATATGATTTCATAAATATTCATATAAAATAGCATTAGTAAGACAAAGAAAACCTTAAATCACTTGAAATACTTTTAAATTCATAAGCATGCTCACAAATAAGATAATTAAAACCTCAAATCACACTTCAAATACTTATATAAATTTTAAATTTACTCAAAAGCATAATCGCATAAACATTTCAAAGATCGTAATATTATACGATTCAACGATTATCAATAAACCCATAATATGTTTGCTATGCATGTACGAGTAGTATCAATCGTTTATTCAAGCACCAATTGTTGACATTATGCACTTCCCGCTCTAGAATTAGTTGCACTTTCAGAGGAGTCAGACTCAACAGCAAAAAAAAATCAAATTAAAAGACGCTTTTTTCCTGAGGGAGTAAGTACTGCAGATTTGAGCTTCAAAATCATAAGAATTCAAGTTCAAACTCGGATCAGAACATCCTTGGACAGACCTCCCAGCAGAATTCCGAATTACTAGGGCACATTTCTCCATGAAACCAGAGGGTCAAGAGTTTTGACTCAAAAAATTTAATGTTATTAATAGCAGATCGCGAAAAATAGCATATTGTCAGAAATCCGATATGAGAAATAGCGAATGGCGTAGCAGGTAATTAGCAGAAGGTGCTGCACGGTTAAAATATGCATAGATGCATATAAAATAAAGCACGTTGCGCACAAATAAAAGTTACACAAACAATAAAATTTAAAAAATAACGGACATAAAATTCAAAATCCCAATATTTCAAACAGCTAATAAAGCTGATGCGTAGTTGCATACATTGCGTGAAGGAGATAAAGGAACGAATGGAAGAAAATAGCGGTTACCTTCTCTTCTTTTTTTTAGGCGATAAGTTGCGTCTTTATCTAGTTACGAGTAGTGAAATTTTATTGCTCTAGGTATTATATATAATACAACTAACTGACTCACCATTTCATATGTCATAGTAATTTTTTAATTTTAACGCACCAATATACTGCAAATAGCAGACTTAACATATTGTATCAAAAACGCGCCAATATACTGCAAATAGAAGACTTAACATATTGTCTCAAAAACGCGCCAATATACTGCAAATAGCAAAGTTGACATTGTATCAAAAACGCGCCAATATACTACAAATAACAGAATTGACATATTGTATAAAAAACGCGCCAATATACTGCAAATAGCAGAGTTGACATATTGTATCAAAAACGCGCCAATATACTACAAATAGCAGACTTGACATATTGTATCGGCTTTCGTATCAACTACCCTAAATTCCAATTCATAATAAGGTATACCGGTTTTTTAACTAATTTCAAACATAAAATAATGATTACATATATAACAACTATAGTGATTGTGTGTATATAGTTTTACATTGATTTTTACTAAGCTATAACTACAAAATCAAATGATTTTTACACATGTTCATGTAACCATATAGTTTATACAGTCTCAAATTTCAGATATCACACTAAGAGCATTAAATTAAACATTTTCACACAATTCTTGACCTCTTTGGGGAAAAAAACTACGGTTTAGAACAAACAAAACGGTGAGAAAATTGACATGGAAGTGAAATTGAGAAGTGAAAAGTGAAAAAAGCTGTGAAGAAGTGAGGTAGGGTTTAGATCTAGAAGAGGACTTACGAAGATTGTGTGAGATTTTCTTGACGACGTCGTTTAGTTTCTTGCTGCGGAAGTGCTTCTGTATTCTGTGTTTCGAATGGGGGAGAAAATATTTTGTAACTTTTGTTTACTTTAGGTTGAAAATCACAAAATATTTTTTACCAAAAAAAGAGAGAAAAGGGTAAAGATTTTTTACTATGAGAGACACTAATACCTCCAAAATAGAGTTTTATTTTTTAAATAATCATTTAAAAAAAGTTTTTAAATAACTATAATTTTCAAAATAGACTTAAATGTTATTCTCTTATTTTTAAGTTTTTAAATTTTAGTTTTTTCATTTTAAAAATTAGTTTTTCTTCTTAAGCTAGTGGTATACCCGTGCGTCGCACGGGTACTGGTCTGCTACGTATGTTTATTTTCAAAATATAATAAAAATTAAATTGTTCAAGAATTTTTTTTTATTATTTAAAAAAAAATCATTGCTTATAATTATTTTTATAAATAAAAAATGTGAAAATAATATGTATTTAAAAAATGAAGGTAAAAGAAGAAGAAAAAATGGACTTTGTTTACATAATATGTATATTTAACAATTCAAACAAAGAAATATAATATTACTCCACTCATTTTCATTTTACTCAAAATAACCTTTGATTTATTATTATTTTTTAGAATTATATTTTTTGAATCCCGAAAAAAAAATTCATCTCATCCTACCACATGTTGCCACGAGATCTATTACAGTCTTATTAGATCAATTGATGAAGATGTTTTGATTTTGAAAGAATATGATGAAAATGTTTACATTAGTACAAGACAGACAAAATACTTTAAATTTGTTTTTGTGAATACATTATTCCCCATATCAGCAAAGGTGAAAGATGTAAATTGTAAAAACTTCATCAAGTTAAGATCCTTCATATATTGCATAATATTTGTAACCAATTTGTAGTTCTTTCTAATAAATACAGCTGATCCATTGTTTGACTTGAAACTTGTTTGGGAGTGTGATGTTGTAGTCCACTGCTCAATTGAATATCACCAAGGTTATCCTTATTTATTTACAAATTCTTCCAAAGGTGGACAGTCGATTGATTATCATTATTTGTTTTTATCACTTTACGCAAATACAACACGATTCAAACCGCTTTTTATACCTTTCAAAGAGCAGGATAAATAGTAGAATACTTTAATTTATATTTTTATTAGCATGCATATACATATAAGCCTGGTATTTTACTTTTTATTTTGTCTAATAAAGAAACCTTCAAAATTAACATAAAGTAGCAGAGCAAGTTTGAAGTATTGTTCCTTTTCACTTTTGTCGTTCACCTTTTGAGTTTAGCTCAAGAACCAGAAGCTTAAAAATTTGTTATCTCTAAAAATTGCATTTGTATCAATATATATATAATCAAATTAATTAAGGTTTAGAGTTTGTTTGATAGATTGTCCACCCTACACAGTGCTAACACTTAAGAAAATGTATAATTAGGAGTCTGAGAAGTATGATGCACCATAGCAAAAAAAAAGGACAGATGAGAAAAGAAATATTGTTACGTGTCATTAAGACTTCACCAAGTTGAAATTCTAATATGTTAGAAGGGTATACCCTTGAGTTTGCACAAGCAATTACCATAAAATGTACTTGAATTTATAAGTCAAAAGAACATGGATTACTATAACATAAGACATAAAGGAACTTCAGAAATAATCACCTTTGGGTATTGAGCTTTAGCAAGTGATTGAAACTGCTCCAATTCTTTTCTGTCTAATAGAAAAAATTAGCTTAGAAGATGGAAATTTTTTTGTGAAGTTGAAACAAAATCTAACTTAACTCTTACATGTACTTTTGGTTATTGAAATTTAAGAACCTTTGTTTCATCAAACCAAATAAATTCAAGTAGCCATCAATATATTTTCATAACCATGATCCACTTATTGTTTCTCCCTGTAGTAAATAAAGGCATGTGATTTAGGAGTCATGTTATTCAGACATGCAAATATTTGATATCGTATAAAATACACAGAATAGTACGTCATTTTTCACTATGCGAAAACCATAAGCAACTTGCAAATTATTTCCTTTCATGGTTGGCATTCAAGATTAAAGTTGCACCTAAAATTTTGAGAGAGGGGCGTGAATTCAAAACTTATCATGTTCACAAGATGGGCTTGTTCTTCAGAATAAGGTAGTTTCCAAGAAATGA